CAAAGTTGTATCGTCTGCATATCTCAGGTTGTTAATGATTCTTCCTCCAATCCTGATACCACGTTTTTCTTCATATAGTCCAGCTTCTCGGATTCCCTCTACCTTAATCTACTCTAAATAAATATGGACTCTAAGTAAAAACAGCGTGCTTGCTATGTAAACACTAGTTTAACATAAATTGCCTAGTCCACTTCCAGACTGCCACCTCTAAACCACACTTTGTATAGATATTCAGAAACTTCCACCACACAGGGCTTAGAGACTAATGGATGTGAGAAAGGAAAGAGAAGAATCAGAGACAAGTCAGAAATGTTAACTAGGTTTACAGGATGGATGCATGGTACTGTTGACCAAGAAAGAGAATATGAGAGATGGTGTTCCTGGAAGAAAATGATACATTTTAGGTGTCAGGAGGATTTATGTGGATTTAGGCAATTAGGGGTTGAGAACAGTGGGTCTGGAGCTTGGGAAGGAGCATAGGTTTTGTCATGCAGTTCTGCCATCATCTATAAGGAGCTGGTTGGTAAGGAGTGGGGTCCAAGACTAGTGACAAAGGAATATGAAGAAAGATTAGAAATAGAGCCTTAAGGAATGTTTTCTTTAATAGGGCAAGTCAATGGGAAGTGTTAGAAGGGAAAATGAGAAAATGCCACAGAAGTAGGAGGATATACAGAAGAATACAGCTCATGAGGACCCAGATTGCAGAAAGTTACACCAAGGAAGGGCTAGTCAAGAATAAGAGTGGAGGAACATTTTCTTTTACAGAATACATCAATTCTTTTCTTGAAAATTGATATTTTAATTACAGTTAGTTCTAGAAAAGGGTTCTTTTTTTAACAAAACTTATTAAAAATATTTAGAATTACTCTGAACCCTTCTAATTTTGCAGTTTCATGATCAACCTCCTAAAGTTGTGCTAGTCTCTTAACAAACATGAAACTTTTTGCACATACAGTACTGTGTTGTCAGTGATAGCAAACATTGATCTGGGTGGATAGAAGGGTGGACAGGCAGAATGATCAGGTATATCTAGGCAGGGAGGAGTGTGCCCATGATCATGTATAGGGTTGGCAGATGATGTTTCTCCAAGTGTATTTGTATGTTCTGTAAGAACGTCCAGGTTTATAGTAGAGCTGACAAGGGACACGTTTGTGGTGATTTCTCAGCCACAGCCAGGTATTTGAAGGGAGCAAGTAGTTGGATGTGGGCTCAGGCCCATGGTCCCAGGGGACATCAAGCTCAATTGGCGTAACATCTTACACAAAAACATTGTTCCACATCCTACTTTTGTCAGCAGTGACTGGGATCTTAAAAGCTTCCAAGTGGCCATATAGATGCAAGGATGGGTCTCTCCTTGTTCAGAGCAAAGAAGAATGAAGAAAACCAAAGGCACATGGAAACAATTAGTCTAAGGGACTGGTAGACCATGTGATCCTCAGCTTATATAATCATGAGACCAGAAGAACTAGATGGTGGCCAGCTACCACTGTCAACCACTCGGAGGGGGATGTGTGTAGGAAATCCTGGACAGAGTGGGAGAACAATTGGAACAAAATTCAAAATTATATATTTATTTATAAAAATATTAGGTTTGCTGGTCTGATAGAGCCTGGTGAAACCACCAAGACTGTGACCCCTAGCTGACCTTAAGGCCTGGAATTGAACCCACTCCTGTGGCTTCTAGCCAAATAAAAGACTGCGATATAGCTGAATATTTACATCAGGTAGATAGAATTTTTGGAGAGATTAATCATGGGAGAACAGACTGGCAGTGTATGCACAGGGAGACCACTCAGGGAGCAGGGGTGCATGAGAGGGAAGGACACAGGCAAGAGGTAACTATGGGGAGAAAGTGGGAAGAGAGCTGTTACATTGTGGGAAATTGCGGTCAATGTCATGAGACAATGTGTATGAACTGCTATATGGAAAAAGAATTTGCTCTGTAAACTTTCACCCAAATCACAATTAAAAAAAAAAAAAGTTGTGCTAGTCTTTGTGCAGAACTTATTACAATTTCTTCAGCATTTCTATGTAAATGCTTCATTACATACTAAAAATATTACTTGCATTATCTTGGACTATCAAGTTGAACATCCTTGTCTTTGTCATAATAGAGTTGTTCTTCAGAGAGAGAGCCAACTTCCATCTCATTGCTCTGGGTTTGCATTTGACTATAAAAGTTAGAATCATCTTTTTCTAACTGCAACTGATTGTCCTCTGAAAATTCACCCCAATCTCTGTCACCAACGTGCTCTTGTGTTCTTAAGGAATTGGTTTTATTTGGAAGCTCTTGAAATAATGGTCCCTGGTATTTGGAACAGTATTCAAAATATTCACCCCCTCCTTTTTCACATTGAAGAGCAGGTTCATCACCATAGGATTGCAACAAGTGTGTCTGGCTTCTAACCTTTGTAGAATCATCCTCCTCAAGTGGACATATAAACTCTTCATTTGCCTCATTCTCCATTGGGTTGGATTCCATGTCATGCCCTTCAGAATTTTTCTGTGAAGGTCTTAAGTTTTCCCCTGTAATGATCTTGAGAGGACTATCTTTTTGAACTGGGTCTATTCCCTGAAAGAATGGTTCATATTTACAAATGTCTGATTCACTTTCATGGCAGGCACACTGATCAGGATGTGAGGGAACTGCAGCAGAACATGGTGGTGTTTGTGGTAAAATATCCACATTTGAAAATTTTAGGTCTCTCAGTGAGCAATGCCATTTTGCTGTCTCTGGCTGAGGAGCTATGAGGTCTCTCAGTGAGCAATGCCATTTTGCTGTCTCTGGCTGAGGAGCTATGAGGTCTCTCAGTGAGCAATGCCATTTTGCTGTCTCTGCCTGAGGAGCTATGAGGTCTCTCAGTGAGCAATGCCATTTTGCTGTCTCTGCCTGAGGAGCTATGACGTAGTCATACACGAACATACCTGGAATCTCCACACTTATAGGACTATCGCTCAGGGATCTGGGCAAGGTTAATGGATCTTCATATATATTGTTGTTAGAGGCACTTTCCTCATGAGTCTCATGCAAATCAGAGTCTGGACCAGAAACGGGAGGCTTCTCAAAGTAATGTTCCTGATGCGCACATTTCCCCAGAATGTTCTGGAAGGTGATGTCCTCAAGACTCTCTAATGATCTCATGTTGTCTATCCTTCCCCCTGAGTTCTCATTCTCTAGTGGCTCGCTGGCTCTACTGGTCTCCTCACCATGTGCATCTTCTTCAGTCACATTCCTTGTGCCCTCTGAACTTTCAGAACTTAGAGTAAATAAAGACCCTTCATCAGAATCGAATTCGATCTCCAACTCGGATTGAGTGTCAGAAGGAACACATCTCTGCAGCGATTCCTTGTGGGCATCCAGGACACTGCCCAATCCTGGAGGAAAGATCGACGGATCCATACCTCCTGGATCACTGCGTGTGACAGGGCTGTAGTAGACTGAAGGTTCTTCCTCAGGACTTGTCCCCTTGAGCTTTGGCTGCCATGTGCTCAGTAAATTAGCATATGTGTTCATTTGCATTTCCTTAGAAAATTCCAGCTGAGAGCCTGGAATTCCTGAAGGTAACTGTTCAGCACTTCCTCTTTCCTCATTCTCACCAGTCCTCCAGGCACTGGAATGTGTTAGCATTTTAGAGAGAGAAGTTGTCATTTCTCTTGAGAGTGATGGGTTTAATTCATTAGCATCATTAAAGATTGGACCAGAGACAGTTTGTAATTGGCCAGTTCCTGGAATAACACTCACTGAATTCTCACTGAGAGAACCTTCCTGGGGCACAGTTTCATAATTTAACTCTCTGACAATATCATTCCTATAGATGTGATCCTGCGCTGCTGGAATTGGATTGTTACTATTAGCATTTGAACGTCCGTGGAGAATGGAACAGGCTGCACTGTTACTTGGAACCAGGTTATCATTTCTATCTCCTGCTCCGGTGTTGTTTCTACATCGTGTGGTGCTCTGCAGGCTGCCAGGCCCCTGGCTGCTGCTTCCAAGAGCTCTGTCATGAGTAACAGCAGCATGCGGGCTTGGCATCACTGAGAAGGAGTCCTGGTTCTCATAGAGGTTTAGATCTTGAAAAGCTTGGTGTAGAAATGTGGCTGGGGGCTGCATGTTCCCTGCAGGTTCAATTTCATCGTAAAAGCCCTCATTTGAATACGTATTTTTTGAACCCGGGCTTTTGTTCTGGCATCTTCGTTGCCACAGTCTGTCAATACAAGGCCTTGTCAAAGCTCCCAGGCTGAAAGCCACCAAGAACGTGATGAACACGGACAGGCAGACCGCCAGGTTGAGGTCGTGGGAAGTGCCTTCATTTCTGCCAAGAGTTTGAATGTCCAGGGCATCACTAACCCATCTTGGCAGACGTCTCTGCTTCTCACTGATATCAGAGCTGACATGTGCCTTCTTCTTTGAAGTGGAAAAACTCACGGACATTCCTTCCTGGGGCCTCACTGCTTGGCTTGTTAGGAGTTTTTCCCTATGACTCAGATTAATGTAAGGGAGGTGGGTCTCTCTGGAAATTCTGCTTTTGGGAGTCCACCAGAATGCCTCCTCATTCCCTGAAAGTAAGCAGATGAAACACACATTGAGCAGACATTGAAATAAGCTTAGCTGTTTTAAAAGCTTCCCCAAGTCCTCCTCAGTCCTTTTCTATTCTATGATGATACACAGCTTCCAGACAGCTTTCTTTCTTTTTAGTCTAATGCCAGGTGTATATATAGCTCGATGCATGTTTACAAATGGCTATCAGGCTTAGGAGGAGCCCTGCTGGGGCAGTGGTTAAGCTCTCGGCCACTGAGAGCTTAGTTGGTAGTTCTCAGTAGTTTGAACCCACCATTATGGTTAGTAGCTTGAACCCACCAGCATGGTTGGTGATTCAAACCTACCAGTTGCTCCATGGGAGAAAGATGTAGCAGTCTGTTTTCATAAAGATTTATGGCCTTGGAAACCTTATAAGGCAGTTCTACTCTGTCCTATAGGGATGCTAGGAGTCAGAATCAAGTAGACACCAATAGACTTTTATATTATTATTATTATTAGGCTTAGAGACTCCCTGGGTGACACATCCAGTTAAATGCTTTACTCCTAACCAAAAGGTTGGCAGTTCAAATCCACCCAGAGACGCCTTGGAAGACAGGACTGGAGATCTGCTTCCGAAAGGTCACAGCCTTGAAAACTCTCTGGAGCAGTTGTACTCTCCACACATGGGGTCACTGTGAATTAGAATCAACTTGATGGCAACCACCACTAATGTCAGGCTTAGGAATGCTGCTCCTAGGCCTAGGAGGCTGTGTGTGTGTTGCCTGACTGCTGCCCAA